TCGTCGTGGTTGTTGTTGTTGTTGTGGTGGTGGTGGTCGTCGTCGTCGTCGTCGTTGTTGTTGTTGGTTGCTGGTTGTTGGTTGTTGGTTGTTGTTTTGTTGCTGTTGGTTGTTGGTTGTTGGTTGTTGGTCGTTGGTTGTTGGTTGTTGGTTCTTGGTTGTTGGTTGTTGGTTGTTGTTGTCGGTTGCTTGCTTGGTTGGTTGGTTGGTTGGTCGGTCGTTCGGTTGGTTGCTTGGTTGGTTTGTTATTTGGTTGGGTTCAGTTGGGTTGGGCTCGGTTGGGTTGGGTTGGGTTGGCTTTGGTTGCATTGGGTTGGGTTGCTTGGTTGGTGCGTGGTTGCTGTAATTCCTGTTGTTGTTGTTGTTGTTGCTGTGGTTGTCGTCGTCATTGCTGCTGGTGATTCTTGGTGCTGGTCTTGTTGTTGTAGTTGTAGTTGTAGTTGTAGTTGTAGTTGTAGTTGTAGTTGTAGTTGCAGTTGCAGTTGTGGTGGTGGTGCTGGTGGTGCTGGTGGTGCTGGTGGTGCTGGTGGTTGCGGTTGTGGTGGTTGGTGTTGTTGGTGGTGGCGGTGCTGCTGTTTCTGTTGGTCTTGCTCTTGTTGTAGTTGTCGTCGTCGCTGCCGCCGCTGCTCTGTTGCTGTTGCGGTGGCTGTTGCTGCTGGTGCTCTTGTTGTTGGGTCCACAAGGGTTACAGCCCTACAACAAGTAAGAAGCACGAGTAAGTTAGCAAAGGGAGCATGTCTAATGGCATTTACATCTCGACGTTGCCCAGCATGCGGAACATAGAAATATATCCCTACACACATCAATTAGTCAGCACACCTGTGACCTTTAGCTTGCTGCTCACTTCAGGAAAGCTGGTGGCAAAACCAAAGTAACAGCTCAAGCACAGAAGTGACGATATAGTCAGGTAACCACACATGCATACACTTGCAAACAAGAATCAGCAAGCCTGATACATCCAAAACAAGGTATTTCTACAAGTCTGAAAACAATCAGTGGGGTTTTGTGGATTGGCAATAGTGCGGCACTAAAGCAAATCATTCAATGATGTGGTGCCAATACCCACCGAAGGCCCTTCCGGCGCGTGGCTCGAAGCCATTCCGCAGCTCAACGAACTTGGCATTCGCCTCCTGCGCTGATCTCGCGACCGTACCCCAACTCAGGCCCCATGTTTTCCCGAAGACATACGCCCATTCCCGAGGCTCTTGTTCTACCTCCAAACCACTACCTTCAGGGTATAGATAGGGCACATAACCTTGATATAGTGACTAGGTTCAGGTGGCGGTTATCTACTGCAGCACAACGGAAAAGGTGCCATGGTCCAAGTCAGTTCAACCTGCAAATCACGACAGTCTGGGTCTGGTAGCCACCGACATGTGTGGTGATCCAACTCATATTCGCGGATAAGACTCGTCTCGAACCAGCCCGCCTCTTTTTGCAGCTTGTTGCTTTGTCTGTCGGGATGCCATTTCCTCAGTCAGGGGCGCGCATGGGCGCGCAACATCGCAGAGCGCGTGAGACCTTGTCAGCTTGATTTCATGACCCATGGACAAGCAAGTCACATGTGAAATTCCGGCAAAGCCTTCAATGCCCAAGGGGCTGGAGCAACTGGAGCAGCACTGCTACGATGCAAACCCGTGCCGACGTGTTTGGGTGTACTTGTGTTTGTCCGTGTGGATGTCACTAAGGCCAGGACAAAGCAAGCCTTCGGTAGGCTTTGTTGATGACCTGGCAAGCTGTGCCAACTGAGGAAGTTGCTAAAACAAGAAAGCTTGTGAACCCACGTCTGCACGCTGGTAGAGAGTTGGGACCTCAATAATTCGCAACAGCTACCTTCTAGATCCGCAAGAAAGGCCCAGTAATTCCATTAAGCATGTAGCCAGCTTGCTTTGTTCAATTACGTGGTACTCCGCATGCTGCCCATTGATGGCCTGGAACTAAACAGCTCTTTGCGCTGGCCAGTGTCCCGTTGTATTTGGATCTGATGCAAACACCAACATGCCAGCTTGTTGGCCAAGAAGTTTGGCTTACCTGGACTCCAAACGAAATCCTACACCTGGGGGAATGAATTGTCCAATAAAAGCAGTCTAGGGTCTCAAAAGGACTACATCGTGCAATGTCAGCAACAGAGCTTCACAAATAAGTTCCCGATATATGCTACATTGGGTGGGCATACGCGGCTGCTGTCGCACATCCTCCCAACATATCGCTGGAATGTCCCAGGGTTACATGTGTGTGTGTGTGTGTGCCAAATCAAGGCTTGAACAACATCACCTCATGAATGCATGCACTTTGCAGGACCAAATCCCTTTGCACATGCGCAAGAACCTCAGAACCACAAGTTGAGGACATGTTCACACACAAAGGATCACAAAACGATGGCAGTGCTCAACAATAGTCTTATGGGCATTGCTGTGTCTGTGCCATGTCTCTGCGTTCTGCTCAGAGCAAAATACTTCATATTATCTTAGTCTAGTTCCCAAACTGGGAAGACCCCGGTCACGGACCTGCATCATGGGTAAGCTCGTGTTACCTCCAGCAACCGTTGCGTCCGGTCCCATTGGCCTCTTCACGGAGATCAGACAACCGCTGGCCACTCAAGCCGAGGATTTGCATGGCCTGCAAGCCACCAACCGGCAGACCCCCACACGGGGAGTTTAAATATTTCTGAACAAGGAATCACGGCTGGTGTCAAGAGCCTTTGAAGTGTCATGTTCTTTAAGTTCCGGATGTTCCATAACTAAGGTGGGTTATGAATCTATGCTGCAAGTCAGGTAGTCTCATCATCGCAAGCTCTTGGCCCCATTCTTGGTTTAGGACGGCAAGCGACCCCTGCAGTGTGCCCCATCAGTCTGGGCAAATCAGACTTGAGAGATCCAACCAAACTGGGTCCGGCAAGATCAAGGAATACATGACCAACAGTTGCTTGTACTCTGATATGCAGCAAATTGCAGCAGCATCCATGACGTTCGAAACACGTCCCTTCAGCTGTTGCCGAAACATGGCCACACTCAGCACGCTGCTCGGCGGAATGCGAACAAGGTCCGTATGCACATGCTGTTTGCTGAAACTCTCAGCCTGGGTGGATTCCCTGCAGGAAGCCAACATGAAACCACTCAAACTTAATTGAGTTCTCATTCAAGGCTATAAGTCTACGGAGAATTGTGTCCGCCCAATTTGCAGAGGCAAAGACGCTCTTGCCTGTGCAGTCTGGAGAAGTGCTACAGCTGCATGAAGAAATCAAATGCTGTGCTGATGCCAATGTCGTAAACTGGAGCGTTGACGTCCATGCGAGGTAGCTGAACACGTCATGGTAATGCATGCAACAACCCAGGCTTGCCGCACAGCATGGTAGAAGTTAAAAACATCATCGGGCAACACGTCTCCACCAATGAAGCTGTCATCTCGACAGAAACCATGCGGAGCCACCCTGTACAAGTGCCGTCCGTGCAACTTGTCGGGGATCATTTGAAAGCTATGCCTGCAAGTACCGCTGATCCTGCCCTGAAATGCGCATGTTCGACGACTATTTTGCACCAGCCATGCCGTCCCTCGCATGTCAGACTTGCATGTTTCGCCCCTGAACCGCCCGCGCGCCTGCGACTGGCTCATGTGGTTGGGCGGCAGCCTTAGCCTCAGAAACAAGACTTTAAACCGGGTAAGTGGCAGAATTAGGGGCTCCTGCAAATCATTTGCTTCATGTTGGTTCAAGTTGGTTCTCTTCTAAAATGGCTGTGAACAAAACTCTTTGGACACCTCTTGCAGTCCAAGGTACGCGGGGCCTGGGCGGGCCTGGCAGAACAGCAAAGGACAACAGGCGCAGTGCATGACACTCCAGAATCTGGAAGCAATCATTGGCTTTGACAAAACAAGAGCGCGCAATCAAGAAAGGATCCTTCAGCTTGCATTGCATTCGCCCTGGAGGCAGTGAAGCATGCCCAGGACTTGGTGGGAAACTCCTCACTAGTAGTTTGGGGGGGGGGGCGTCAGGGCAGCAAGGTCCCCAAAGACACGAGCCCTTGCACTGTCAAAAAGGATAGCATTGGGACGGCATATGTGTAGTCATGCAGAATCTGTTGAAACAAGAGGACGAACCAGCGTGTCACGCTTTTCCACCAGCAAAATATCATTTGGGTGACAGGGTGTTTGCCCTACCCGCTTCAACCTAGATACGATAAGTTTTTGTGGGTGTGTTTTAATTTGAGGGACCCCAACAGCGGCCCCACTACATGCTCGGCGCCGTGCCTAGTTACATTTGTCTAGCCTTCTCCCTTGCCCAAAAATATCACAAATGGAATTCAAGGGGTCACCCCCCACCCTAAAGCCCTTTTCCAAGGGAGGCACGTTTCCCGACGTCGCCGTCTCTGCCTTCTCCGCGCGCCCGGGGCGCGGCGCAGGCTTGGGCTTGGGCCTTGTTCAATGGGAAACCCAAGCTTTGAGCGGTACTTCCCCCATTCTTTCCAGGGATCGGTCTTGGACAATTATCAAAAGACCAGGGATGGTGCTCACAAGAACGATGGGTGAGAAACTGAAGGGGCCCCAAGGCAGCTGGACTCTGAGGGCTGCACCAAACCTTTGCCGCTTGCCTTCTAAATTTCAGGGGGTCCCTCAAATGGATGGCTTCCTCTTGGCTTTCACGGCAAACCTCGTCCAAAAGGGCTTCCTGGCCCCCAAAAGCGCGCCCGACTGCTCTGCTTTGACCTAAGTCTCCTGGCTTGGCTTTTGGCTTCTCCTCCTTCTCCTTGCGCCCTGTCCAAACAAACTGTTCAGGCGTCCACGCAAACACATGCCCAAATGGGAGACAGGTGGCTGCATGATGGCCAGAAGGTTGACCAAAACACACTCTGAGAACTTGATACCAATGATCTGCAGGTGGTTTTGCCTGGCGTGGCCGTGGACGGAAACCTCACATCGCCGGCTTCCACGAGCATGTCGCAACACAAGTCAACAATGATTTGCCGGAGAAACAAAAAGCCTTACTCAGTCAACTAATTGCACCTGTCAACACATCCACCAGGTATAGTCATATTACTTACGCACGACTTGCGCCATGCTTTCGATTTTCGTCGCACACACACACACATTCATACCCATGCTTGTCTTGTGGCATCTTGGCACGTGTAAAGTACCGATTTCAGGCGCAAAAGCCTGTGCGATCAAAATATGGCACGAATGCACTTCCCCCAAAGCCTCGGGCCCTCATGCGAGAACGCCAACCCCAGTCTTGAAGGGCTCAGTCCCTGCCTTTGCCGCGGCCTTTGCCTCAGCATTGCTGTTTTGGCCATTTTAGCCGGACACCAAATGGAAGATCTTGAAGAAAAAAGGCAAAATGGCGTTACTGAACGCGTGGAGGCATGACCGAAGCCACATTTTGCACATCGAGTGTTCAGTCATGAACTTGGAACCTCATGCCGCCAACAGTCGGCGCATTCCTCAAAATCCAAATCCGGGCCATCTGCTACTCCATGCCCAGCTTTTCAAGAAGATCTGATGCGGAGTATTGAACCCGAAGAGGATTGTGTGTGTATATGAGAGCGAGAGACACGCGCGCGCGCGCACACAAAAACACACACACACACACACCGAAACACCAGCAATGACAAACACAAAACACACACACTGGGAATGCCACGTCGGCAGTCAAACACCAAACGTTCAAACACGTAAACATGAGGTGAAATGTTGCAAGTTAGCACTGAACCGTGCAAAGTCAGTGGCCTTAAGGGCGATTGTTAGGGGTGAGCCCTCCAGCTGCCCGCGACGGGACCCAGGAGCAGCTCTCAGGCAGGTACGTTTCACGAAAAGTATGTGGGGTCTTCGTTGGCAGCCGCCCACATACTCTTCCGGCTGCCCCCTGCCGGCATGCACGAATTGCACGGAGTTGACAAATCGGGGTACATACACGAACGTAGCTGAAAGCTTCTTGGTCTGGGGCAACCGCCGCAAACCTCTGTGCGTCAGGCGAATGCGTCCACTGATGTCCGCTGTGAACCGATAGGTCAGTAACGCCGTTCACGACAAACGTAGCTGAAAGCCACCTGGTCTGGGGCAACCGCCGCAAACCCGTTCACTGCTGGCGTGCATGAATTCCACGGATTTTGACAAACCTGGTTCTGCAGGTGGTTTGTACTGCGATAACATCAAACACACAAGCAAAAAGACAGATAAAGACACTAAAAACAACCGTACGGAGGGAAAACTGGCCAGCACTCGTGGTGCGGCAAGCGGTTTGCAATTCCGATAGCAAATCATCAGTTGTGTTGTCCGGGCGGAAGCACACCGCTGACTAGACCGTCTATGCCGAAATTACCTGACACTGTTGAGTGCTTTGCTGGTCACTTGCACGAGTGACCGGCTCAAAAGAGCTGCTTGCCCTAAGCAGCTTCGCAGGGACCAGGGTACACACAACGGAAAAAGCCCACAGCACATTAAACAGTCTTGAATACTTGCGAAGGCGCATCGCGAAGAGCATCTAGCTGGATTGCAGGGCACTTCCAAAGGCGCGATAAGCACAAAGTTGGGCGCTTTGCTCAGCCAGCCAAAAGAACAGAACATCGGTCAATGCGAACGCTCCCATGTGCCCACTCCCACCCGCCCTCCCCCCAGGCTAACCACACGATCGAAGGCCGAAAGCCAGGTCAGTTTTCCATGCGCAAGTGCAAAACAAGCAAAAGAAACCAGCAAGCAGGCAAACGAAGCAAGAAAGAAGCTAACAAACACAACCACAAAACACAAACGCACACACACACAGACAAACACGCACTCCGAACGCTAAAGCGAAGACCCCCCAACACCCTTTCATTCCTTGACGCCATCTTCCCTGGACTTGCTTGGACTAGCCTTATGTCCGAGTGCCCGGCTCTTCTTTTCCGCTTTACCTTAGCTTGGAAACCAACTTAGAGACTTGTAGGCTTGGAGGATGGGAGGCTTGGAGGCTTGGTGGCTCGGCTTGGTTGCTTCATGGCTGTGCAGTTTGCTGAATACTCATGTCTAGCAGGTCCAACAAGCTATTGTCACATCTCTCAATCGGCGGGAAGCCGATGAGGACAACCATCACGTTCAAACACTCTGCCCACACTCAAAACTGGCTCCGATTCAAGGTGATCATATCCAACAGTCTCCGTCCAAGGCCACCTCCGCCTGAAAACTGCGCTCTGAACAAGGTGCCCGACCTGAGGCTCCGACCTTTCCGTCGGGAGAACTTGGGCTCAATGACCTGCTTGCCAGCCCATGGATGAGAACTCCTTGTTGGTTGTAAAGCGGTTGGCACAATCGTTCGACTACAAACAGTGTAGCAGGTCCCAAGCATTCCCAAGTAAAGGTGCTTCAATCACGCCAACCTCAGCAAGTCGAGGTCCGCAATGGCCACCCAGCATCGCCACACCATGGATTTAGGCACCACCAAAGCCAGCTCGTAGACCGGTGGCAGCCACCTCCTTGAATTGCAACCATAAGGAACCGTAATGTTCAACTCGCTGAGTTCACCTTGAACCCCAAGCACTCATGTCAAAACACAGTGATAGCTGTTGTCTCGGCAGATTGGCAACAATGACATATCGCCCCATGAATCTCAAGTGTAAGTCTTGTGCCGAACTCGAGGAATCCAAACATGTCAGCTCAGCTTGATACCCAACCACACCAAAGGGCGAGTCTAACAGTTCTCGCCTGCGGGACCATCACCCTTTGTGCCCTTTCGCTGCGGGATCTAAGCAGTTGCCCTGATATGCTAGATGCTAGAAAATTGCGGTTTCTCATTGCTGATCTGTGGAGGGCTGACTTGTCACTGGGACAAATAATGTTGAATTTCCGAGGTGTGGCCGACCTCATTTGTGCTTAAATGCACAACATGCCGTGCCCACTCGTTAAACAAACCATGCAACCAACGTGCAGTTTGACTTTAGTCCGGGAGAAAACACTAATCTGTACAGACCCAACAAGCACTTGGTTGGATCCATTTAGTAACATGAATGTCTTGAAAGCATGCTTCCCGTTTTGCAAGCACTATAGATCACAAAATAATGCCAAAGTTTGCAACCACCGCTCGCATACACAAAAGCATACACAGTATATCAAACGCAGTACATGCAACCACCATGCCGCAAATGCTGCACCTCCCCACCTCCTCTACGTACTCCGAAGCAACTGTGATGTCTTCATCCTCGCGGCTTCATCGCCGCCGGAACAATCCAACAGGGACGCAGGGATTGAATTTCAATGCGAACGCTAAGGCAAAGTGCCTGACTGTAACTGGTGTTGTACTCTGAGCTTGGCTGATCTGGAAGTATCGCTGAAATACATGCTCTCTCTCTCTCTCTCTCTCTGGCTCTCTTAGCGATCAGCGTGTCAAGCACCGCAGTAGGCTTGAGACCGAAGAACTGAAAGCGAGCCAGTGCATGCATACCTGATCAGCTGGTGCCTTTCCTGTCTTTCAGGACAATTCACACATTCGTTGTCCTTCTTCCACTTCTTGGCCTCATCGTCGAAGCGCATCCAGAACTGGCCAATCGGTGACACAACACACCAACCCGCCAGGTCGCACCCAATAGCATACGCAGCATGCAAGAGCTGTACGTTTGCACAGTTCAAACGCTTTCATCCAGCAACAAGACTACTCAGTTAAAAGGGAGGCCATATACAACAAGCAAAATGGAAGACATCGATCAAACAAGAAATGAGAATGCGCAGCGTTTCTCTGACTGACACATAACGTGAGCAAACATGGCTCGTCCTTGAATAAGGAAGGCACTATGACCGAACAATGTGCCAGCACAGCAGAAATGGCGCAGTGCACAAGTACACCAGGACCATGTTGTAAAACCATAAACTGGGGACTGTCCGTTTGATTGTCGATTTCCCAATAATGTGTTTGGCCATCGGATTATCAACCACGTGGCTGCACCATCATGAATGATGTTCTTTGATCCAAACACCAAACCTTTCAGCACCAAAACAAGCTTGGGTCTCTTCTGGCTGTGTCCAGCAAATTGGTTTCTCATCGCTGTTGACCAATTTGGTTTGGTGGCACAACGCAAAACATCAATGGATTCTGGGAACTTGATGCACACTGATGTCAATGATGCCCATGCTCTGACGTAGCCCCCCCTCCAGATTGTTCTTGTTGGCTCTGCACTGCTACCCATCGAGATGGTTCTTCTCTTTGGAAGGCATCAGTCACAGACTTATTGAAGACAAGTCTAAGGCCAACATAGCCGCTCCAATATCAAGTTGGAGCGGGGGCCAGGGCCCCAATGCTCTTTTCGGCATGTCTGAGCAGTCGATCAAAGGCCATGGCACATCTAGGATGACAGGGTTAGCTTCCTACGGTCGCAACCTAATTAGGTGCCAGATCCAAGCAGGGAACTGACCCCAGGACCCTGCCTGCATCTTGTCCGGGAGGAGGCCGTGGTGTTTCTGCGGGCAGAAGATAAAGCCAGAGCTGCCTGCCGTGTATGAATCTCCAAGGCAAACATGGCCTTGTTGCGAAACACGGAGCCAGTGCACAGGGTTGGCTTTCCATTGAGTTCGTGCTCAAAACAAGCATGCGATTGCCCATGTTTCAGACATAGCCAGCACGAACCACAAGCCAGCATGCCGCTGTCACAATTTAGACAGCACACAAGGTGCGGTACTTGCCCTTGCAGGACATAGCGAGACAGTTGAAGTCTCTTGCTAGATGTCGCATCCATTCTGCAGGTTGTAGAAGGGACACTACACCCCGGCACATGGAATCTCCAAGAGCCTCGTGTCACAACAAAATAAGACTTGATTGAACCCATGAGCACTCCAAGTGTGACCGATCGAGCTTCAAAGCTCGGCTGCCTTGTGATGTCTGCAAGGATTGACTCTCTGCCAACACATACCAAATTGGATCAGTCCCACTGATCAGTAGCAGTGGCAGCCCGGCGCGACACTGCAACTGCACAAATACCGATTCCCATAAAGGGTGATACACTTCCCCCAATTACTTCAGACTTGGGGACAATGGCCACACTTCCCCCAATTACTTCAGGCTTGGGGACAATGGCCACACTGCAAAAGTCATCAGGGGTACGAGTTGCCCTACGAATTGAATGACACCGCCTTGGATGAGCTCAACCCCGAGGACACGCAAGCTGTTTTCGGGTTTTGCTCGTCCAAGTGAGATCTCAAAGTTCTGCCGCCTTGCCTCCTTGCACTTTCAACAACCATTCACAGCTCTACCTTCCCCGGCCTTGGAAGCCGTTCTGCCGCACTTTGCTGCTTCCCACAGTCCATCGGCCCATCTGAGTCAAGTGTCGCAAGACCAACAACTCGAGAGACGACAGCACAAATTCCTTTTGGTTAACAAGCTCACTTCGGACAATTACTGAATGAGTGTCACCAATGCAAGGTGATTCAGAACTTCACCACTGAGCAAGCTCGGAACTGTGTTCATGTGGACATGATCTACCATTCTGGCCGTTTAGCTGCATCAGCTTGCTTGAACACATACGCAAGCTACACGGCGCAGAAACACACACGCACACGCACAGCTGGCTATGACACGGCAGGTCTCTTCACAAACAGAGCTCCTGAAGTGGCAAATGTTAAAACGGGATCTAGCAAGTTAGCTAATGCCGGTACCTGTCATGATGTCAAAAGAACACCTCTGCAAACATCGTCATGATTCCCTTGACAATTCCTGCTCGGCCATGTTACCAGTGTGTTGAATGTGCATGCCATGTTTCATAGGCAAGATAACACACGACGGTACACATGATAACATTCATAGAGGATACATGTGTGTAATATATATATATAATATACGATCACGTAGATACATTAGACATGTATGTATCATAGTTGACAACTATAATTGCTAGAGAAAAAAAAGCAATGTTATTGATATTAGTACTTGCATTGTTCTACAGTACAGGTGGCTCCCCCATCCTGAAAATTGATCGAATACCTTGTTGGGACTGTATTCCAAGGGAGTATGGAACTTTGCTAGAATGGCTTTGCAGAATTTGATACAGGTAATTTGTGTAAATACCATACACACGGTGATACTGGTTGCATGGACAAAAAAAATGCCATCGGCACCGCCGACTTGGTAGACCCTCTGCATGCATCCCAGGCGCATGGTCGGAGTAGATCCACCGCTCTCCGCCCAACTGGCGCCACACCTCGAGCCAGGCCACCAGACCGGATCGCATTCGGAATCGGCAGCTTCACAGAAGAAAACTGCGCTGCACGCAAAGCCAGGTGCTGTAGCTATTTTGTCATCTGCCGCCCTGCGATCGATTGAGAAAGGTTTACGCTGGGCCGAAACCAGGGCGCCGGCTGGCATGCCGTGACCAAGCTCTTCACGCACCAGGACGTACCTCGCAAACCGAAAATTATTTCATTACCCTCCCTCCAATCATGGAACGGGAAGGTTTGGAAAACTCTTCTCCTTTTGGGGAGCCCCTCTTTCCACTTCCATGGTTGTTGGAAGGAGGGTAGTTCGTGGGGGTCGGTGCTTTCGATGGGCAAACCATCTGTAGAATGACATGCTACAAGAGCCACCAGCAAGGGAGAGCCATCGAGTGTTCGGGCAGAGCACTATGCAAACCAACTTTACTTCTGCCAAGGAGAGGGGCGTGGATCTTCCCAGAAGGCGTCCGATGGTCACAAAAGACTGTCGGCTGACAGTTTTTTCTCCCATGCAGTTGAAGATTTGTGCACCCTGGCGCCCTTGCTGAGTCTAGTGGGCATTCCTCAAGCACGACCTGCACTAGCTGAAAAAGCAGAAATAGCATGGGCGGCAGAAGTCCACATCGCCGGCTGCCACAAAACATGGCAACACATTCAACACAATGCGAGATCACCCAGCAAAGTCATTGTCTATGACAGGTGATGCGATCAACGATTCTGCCAATCACGCTGCCTCTGCTTTGCCCTAAAGCGAGGGCACATGCCGAAGCAATGGTTCTGCCCGTTGGGCGAAGAGACGAAGAGCCTGGAGGCCCATGCCGAAGTCCAGAGGATCAAGGGTGTGTGCTACCCCAAACCGTTTCCCGCAAAGAAAGCAGCTCCTCATCTGACCTTCACTTAGCTCGTGTCTGAACATAAATGTCCGATATTCAGGGTAACTAACAAATGTTGGATACAACCAAATGAGATGTGATCATCTTGCAAAAGCTGGTATCAGTGCATGTTGACTGCATGGACTCTGTGGTTAAATCTTCTTGCCAAGCTATTTGTTTCCCCATGCCAGCATTGCCTTGCTGTCTTTGATTGAGTTTGTTGGTCTTCTGTGGCATTCGGCAAAGGGATGGAGTCCCGCTGCCACACACCTGCTCCCTCTGAGGCGCTGCCCATTCATTGCACGTCGTGTTTATTAGTGAATCTAGTTACTTTACTTGGACCAAGCATGCTCACCGCGACTTGTTTCAAGCTTCTCCTAATTTTGCTGAACGGGTCACACACACACGCACACACTGGAAGCTGGCAAACGCCTGCCTCTCCAACTCCTCTGCTTCCTGCACACATTGGATCAATGCTCGCACACCGGAAAGCTGTACTACCTGCCCAAATACCAAAATTAAACATCAAACATTGGGGCTCATGACCTAAACGGCTTCGCACAACCTTGTGAGCATGTATATTAATGCTGCTACCAGAAACGTGCCCGTGCGGCCTTATGTGTGTTCCGAAAGTGCTGCGTACCGCTGACTCTCAACCGCAGTGCCAACGAGTGATAGCCAGAACACCTCGCCTGAAAAATATGTGTGGTTCTTAGTCGATGATACTGAAACTCTTCTCTCATTGGCGACCAATCACTTCGCATCATTCACAAGACATACGAAGGTTGCACAAGCCAGAGCCCTGTAAGCTTCCGTAACTGAGTGGAATGAAAGAGTTGTAAAAACTGGACGACACCTTAACTGGTGGGTACCAAAGCAAACGTCTGCAAACACTCGCATTTGCATTGATCAGCCGAGCGTCATTCATTCCATTGACAACTTAAGCCATGGGCTTCCATCCCCTTTACATTCAATGTTTTTTGGGCCTACGCAAGGACACGCGAGACACATATGCCGAAGCAGCGACCATCCCGTGGTTCCTCTACAAGAAGCAACCACAGTTGACTTCCATCTGAATCCATCCACCACGGTGGCTTCCAAAAAACACATCCAACAAAGGTTGATATCCCTTGAAAACGAAACAACACAAGAGTGACGTGGCCCCGTCCCGGTCCTGCGGCTGCGCCACCTCTTGCAGCTCGCCCGTGAGATCCGTCAGCGCCGCCAGGGCAGCTGAAGGATCCTGGCGCTAAGAGGGCCCCGGCGGCGTGTCGCTTGGGGGCGTTTTGCAACCCCAGATCTTTACTCCAGGGGCCATGGGCCGCAAAATTGTTGGCAGTCAAAAAAGGTCCTCTGGCTTGCCAGTTTGGGTGAAGCCGCTGCCTGCACCCTTTGGCAGCTTGGGGCAGCCTGGGGGTAGTTTGGGCGTTGTGACTGCAATGGACGGATGCAAACTGCAGTGAATCTGAAAGAAGTGCCATCTTGCATCCGAAGCATGTGCCACGATCCGTTCGGTTCACTGCTTTACATGGATCACCCCACTGAGGCAAGTTACAACCAAGGTCCTGAAGGAGATAACCTCCTGCACCCCAATTGTAACCCTCACGCTACTCAATCCCTAAGTGAAAAAGGAAGCACGTGGCGGCCTTGCCAAATTACAAAGTGGTTGAACAACAAGTGGGGGATCCCACAAAATCATAAAACACCACATAAGGCCACGGACATGACCTACAGGGCTTTTGACGTTTTCCCTTTTGCTAGACACATCACCTTTTGAGCAAAGTTGAAGTGAGTTTCCCTTGGGTTTCCCTTAGTAGGGGTGATGTAAGCAGATAACCTTATAGTATAGGGAGCCCTGACCTAAAGTGGCAACATGGCCGCCTCCCGGCCGGTTGGTCCTGGCCGGCGGCCTGGGCATCCGCAGCCATGGCTTTCAACATCTGCACGTCCCGCCGGGCGTGCGCCTAGCAGAGGCTGCAGCGCTAGAGGGCCAAACAAGTCGGCCTAGCAGAGTTGATGGGCCAAAAAAACTAAGGCTTTGTGTTTGCCACTAACATGGTCTTGCCAAAAAGTTGAGAGTTCAGGAGCTCAGGAAGTCAGTGATTCACCACATTCTCCTGATCCAGAAAGGACACTTGGGGTAGAGATGATTACTTGAGTATTGAAGAAACAGTGGTTTGGGGAATAAAGCAGCTTTTGGTGTTGTCTTGTGGTGCAAAACAAATTGGCAACCAGCAAGGAAAATGGGCGGGTGTTGTTTGAACACGCCACCCAGGTTCAAGCCTCCCATCTTGAACCCTGCATTGCAGCACCATGGTAGGGACACCAGCCAACAAACATGACGAAACACTGGAACAACAACTCCAGCTCAAAAGTTGTGAGGCGAGGCAACATGTAGCATAATATGCAAACCCGCTGGGCTGACTAGAGGGTCCCTTGTACCTGTGGGTGAGATCTTTTGTAGGAGCAAGGCCTTGTGAGACCTGACCAAAATTCAGCGGGACACACGCAGTAAGGTAAGATAACTTTCATCACAAAGCGACGTTTACATAAAACACGTAGACAGTCTGCCCTTTGTCCAACAGCACATGCACATGCACATAAATGCACACCAAAACACCACATCGCGCTGCAAATGGCTCCGCCCTACCTTAAATCTATTAAATCTGCGAGGGCAGTCACAATATGTGTCCATCTCAAAAAGCCAGTTGCCCAGGGCAAGCGACGAAACCTGAATTCAACAGCTCCTCCGCAGCTTGCGCGGCGAAGATGGCCTCGCCCTCCATTTGATGCAAACGCGAGGCCTAGGTACAGGCAATTCGCAGACCCATAGAGACATATGTGCCACGTCTTTCTTTGGTTCCCGTGTAGAAATGGTTTTAGAGGACAACCAGAAATGGTCTGGCTTTTACGACAACTTTGAACATCCAGGCGGTCGGAAGGGAAGAGGTGACAATATGCACTGCACAGGTAAAAGAAGAACATCTGAGTATGAAGAGTATAAACCAATCGACTGAGATTAAACTTGATGCCAAACAGCACGACGGCAATAGAATAGGGGTTTGTGTCCTTTCTGCTGAAATATCCGCTGCCCCTTCTTGTCATATATTGCCGTAACCTCTTGCCTTTCTTTCCCGGGGCAATGGATGCTTCCATCCGCGGAGCTGGCCCCTTGCTTGCGCCAAGTTGCTTCCTCGTCACGCATGGCGTTCAGCGCTAGCGCTAGGACCTGCAATTTGGCAATTTCGCCGTGTAGGGAAATGGAGAAAGGGTTCACAGACTCCAATTTTGCACGAGGTTAATGTCTCCAACCAGGTCGGAACTGTAGGCCCAGCATTGACAAATTGATCAACGGACGAGTTTCAGTTTCGCAGCTCCATTTTCAAGGATACCCACAGTTCTTCCTTCTCCTCAAAGCCGGGTAAACAACCAAATGTGGTCGGGAACCTTGCAATCTCCGCCTTCCAATGGTATGCACAACATGTGCGAGGGCATGCTCTGATTTCTGTTTGGGCCGTCGACATTCCAGGCACCAAAGGCAATCGCAGGTTTCAGCACATCTTGAAGAATCTTGAAGACATTGGGACATGAACTTTCTCGTCGTTGAAGGCAAAATTGGTCCCACCGATCCGTCCCAAGCCCGCGGCCATGCCTCGGGGACCTTCAAGCCAAACTGCTGGGCCTCCTGGGACCTTGGGCTAGGGGTCTCAAAACGAAGTGATTTCGCTTTCAACCTCAAAGAAAGGCGCGCCCATTTATCTCAGGCGCCAACACAGAAAAGGTCGCATGCAACTGCGGGAGGGCAAAAATCAATGTTCGTCCAGGGTCCTGTTTGTGGACGAGCCAGAACTCGCCATTCCCTTTCAATTCCTACCGAGGCCGTGCTCCCTCAAAAGGCCATGGGTCAAAAGCCCGTACCCCCAGTGAACATCCCAATCCCCACTAAAATAGACTAGAATGGGTGGTGCACCTACCCCAAAATGGTACCATTGGTTTTGCCCCACAGCCAACATTCAGCTGGGGAAGCAATGGGGAGTGCAGCACAGGGTTGCGGCATCCTGAGCCCAGCACCAGAACGCCACGCCCAAGCGGTCGGCATCCCGCAAGCTCGTGGTAAGGCACTGCCAAATCCCCTGCCCGATGCAAACAGAGCCAATCCAACTGCCACCAGTTCAAGCCTTCGCTATCTTCGCTCCAGGAATGCAAGGGACTGGGACTAACATTTGGAACCCAAAAAAAGCAACGTCCGAATGGAAAACAAGAAACTCTCCAGGAGTCCTCAGGCATCCACTGAGCCAGGTCACTTCAATGGGGACAATCAGGCGATGGGGTCAAACTCGTGAGCTGGAAGTATAACCGGGCCAGGCAACCACTGTTCTAGCTGTACCCTTCCCATTCGCTTCAGGCATCATTCTCTTCAAAGAATAGGCCAAAACCCCTGGAAAATGGGTGGTGTCCAAAGAGAACGATGGGTGAAGAGAATGGGGAATCAAACCTTCGAACTGCATTGGGATTTGTTGCGCCCGTGAAGAATCAAAGAGGACTTCGAAAGGAGCCTGAAAAGGAGAAGTGCTCCTTTGCCTGGCTTACAACACCCCTCTTTGTAAGCAAAGCCCAACCTGGTGTAGGTAACTAGGGCTGCTCCTTGTGTCAAATGGACGGTGGTGTCTCATCCACGTGGAGCTAGAAATATCAAACAAATATGTCGCGACGTGCTTTAGTTGTGTACTCATCCTGGCCACAATTGTTCTGCTGCAAAACATATATCCCTACCGCCTAAATGCATCTAATATGAGTTAAGATGTACAAATCAGATAATGTTGATTGAATCATTCTTTGCGTGCTCCTGTGGTAAACTAAATTACGATAGATTGCTTCCCTATTCAAAGTGGCAGAGTACATCCCCTGCCTGTCCACAGCTCCACCAATGAAGTTAATCGAGTTATGCAGTATGCATCAACCTCGTGATTGTGTCTAGAGGGCCAAAGCTAAACTGGCCCATTCAAATCGCCGACCACTTCGGCTTTCTTTTCCTCGCGTAAGTACAAAAAAGAAGAAGCTCAAAGCTGGCCTTTGGGCTCGGCACGCACAGAATATATGAAACCCAAACATGCTAAGAGAAACCTTCTTGGGAACTCCGTTTTTGGACCCCATGGTCATTTCCAGGAGAGCATCGGGATTCCTTAACTTGTCACCAAGTTGATCCATCATTTCCATTTTTACCATCAATAAATCATCACATGGTGTACCGGAATTTATATATGCATTCTCGTTAATTTGTGATGATATCATACAAATTGGTGATGGCTGCTATTGTTTCTTCATGTATTGATTGATTGGATGAATGTCTATGAGATGATTTGACTCATGTATTTGTACTTTAAAATGTGAATATGTACTAAATTGATATAAATTATTTTATCGGCGCATCGCCTCAATCTCCTCCTCTCGCTTCAGCTGCTCCAAGTGCTCTGTGAGCAGAAGAGGAACGCGGAAACCGGCGCTGGCCGCCTCCTGCAGGACTGCAGGACACCCCCCTGGGCCTCTCCCACCAAAAGTGGTTCTACAACATGCCCAAAGACTTTTCTTCAATCCCAATACCCAGAGATTCGTTGCGGCAGAAATGTCTGCCGCAATTCAAAAAAGGCGCCTTGTTGAATTTGCTGCATTTCTTCCTGATTTGCGGCATTTTTAAAAAGATGCGGCAGAACTTGTTTTCAGTTTTCCCCCTGATTTGCGGCGGACATCGGCGGGAATGCGGCGGAAATTCCCAAAAAAACAAACGGTGTTGCGGCATTTTTGTTTTGGTTGCGGCGCTTTTTTTTGGTTGCGGCTGATTTTGTGGAATGCGGCTGGAATTTCTGCCGCAATGCGTTGCGGCAGAAATTTCCGCCGCAGGAAGTTCTAGGTATGCAAGAAATGTGCCTGAAGGCGACTTTCTGGTTGCTGGCAACACAGGAAAGCGGGCAAGCGGGCACCGCCAGCTGCCCAAAGCAGCGAAGCCAAGTGAAGCCAAGTGAGGACATGACAAGGCCCTGCATCGGGTCGAAAACACTGCAAGCACATTGCAAGCGAGATCGATCTTTGACATTCGGACCCTTGCACAAGTGGACATGGCCGCCGCAAATACAAGAAGCAGAACCAGAAGAAGCCAAAAGGGTAGTATCTGCACTGGTTGTCTTTGCTCACCAGGCCTGAAACTTGCGGCTCTAGCGGCAATGGGATAATTCACCACACACATTTGGAAGCTAGGTGGGCATAGAAACCCTGTTTCAGGCGTCTTGAGCCGTCTCAGATCCTTGGCAACAGGCTATGCTTCAGTCGGCTCCCGCCCCCCCTCCCACCCCCTCGGGGCCTCAGTGGCCGCAGCCAAGCTGCCGGCATCCGCATTCATGCCAGCCTCACCCACCACGGGCTCCAAGACCTGCTCCGCCATCTTTGCCCAAACGCAACCTCTGACGTTTAACCGCTCCCGGCGTGCTGACATGTGAAGTATCGTGGCAATCACTCCAGATCCAAAGAAAGGTTGTCCAAGTAGCTGCCGAGCAATTCGTTCGGAATGGCCGACATGGGGGACCGGACTGGCTAACGGGCTAACGGCACATTGCAAGGATTGCACTGACCTTGCCTTGGGTTTAGAAGTCGCAAAACCTGCCCCATGCCCAAGTCCACTTCTGCGGATTTGCTGCTTTGGGTTGGTGAGCATTTTCACATTGGTCATACATTGTTGTAAATGGGTGCTTGGTGGTAGCCCTCATGCGTGTTGTGCTTCTGCTAAGTGACATCCGATGTCAGTATCTTCAGTTTGCCAGTCAAGACAGAACGTGCCTTGTGCAAGTTAGCGCATCAGCCGCTCAAGTTTTGTTGGGGCAGGCACTTGCCGTGCATTTGTTTGGCACCAGACGTGCGACGTCGTGCGACGAGGTCGTCAAATTCAGTGGCGCAGTCAAGATTCATCGATTGTTGTGCGGACAGCGCAGTGCGACAGCCTCTCTAGGTAGGTCACCCGTTTGACTTGCACACCAGTGCCGCTCAAGTTTGATAGTCATGTCATGACAATCAAGCTCCCTGGAACACTTGTCAATTGCCTGCGTTTCAAGAAGCGCCGGGGCAGATTCGGTGACTCTCCTCTTGAAACCACTCGAATAGGATCCAACCACAACTCGTCTTAATTTGACGACCCGTGACCTGCGACGCCGAAAGGGCCGAGGCCTGGCGCACCGCTTGCTCGTCCCGAGGGGCTGGGCGGGTTGACACCCACTGCTCGAAGAGATCACCCAGGCGATCCTCCTCAGTCGAACCAACCCGGTGACACTCGAACGCATGGCTCGGTGTCCGTTACCGGTTCTGGCTTTGAGTGGAATGAAAGAAACTTGTCGCCGTTGAAGAAGATGGCTTCTTTTCTCCACGAGGTGCTAAAAACACAGTTGTCCGGCCTGGCCACTTGAACTTGAAGCTGGCAAGCATTGGCATTAACTTCGTCGCGCCATAAATTCACTCTGAGCTGAAAATACCACGTCCATAGCCATCGAATTCCGCCGTAACCCAACTGCAACAGATCGACCGAAGGCATTGAATATGCCCTTGGGTTTGGTTGGCTAAAAATGGAGGGATCCCCCACCCAAGGCGTGTGTGTGTCTTTGCCATGTTGATATCAATAAACCACAACACATGCCGCGTCGGCATAAGAGATTGTCGACTCGGCCAGGGCAATGCTGCGATAGGAAAACAGCAGGACCCATCAGATCCGCCAAGATGCCACAGCAATTCGCTGCTTCTGGCAGGAAGCTGCCTGCACAACTTGCAACAAAACACCAGGGTCAGTTGAGTCCCTCCGTATGGCATTGCACAAGGAACCTTATTCGTGGGTGTGTTCGGGTGAAGCTACAGTAAGGTCAAGAGTCAGATTTGAGCAAAGACGAAGGCTGTGGCCATTGCAAACATAACTGGCGCTGTAAAGGGAGCTGTCCAAAGGCCTCATGTCAAGTGACCTGATCAAATCTTCTTCGGGGCATGATCACCGTCTCTTCACCCTGGCTCTGGACAAACGCACACACACACACACACAAAAAAAAAAAAAAGGCCAAAGCCTGGCTCTAGTGTTGATGTTCATCTCCAATAACCCAAAGGCGAGACACAACGACGCAGACTCACATAGGCACACAAACAAACAAACAAACAAACAAACACACATAAACACGCGCGCGCATACGCAAAGCACGGTTTGAGAAGTCCCTGGAATGGGCAAAGAGCTTTTGGGGTACGTGCCCCCGAATTGTTTTCTCCCCAAATCAACAAACGTGACAAATGTCATGTCAGTCCACAGGCCTGGCTTTGCAGCAACTTCCCAAGCTCTTCCTCCGCCCGCACACACACGTCGCCTGGCGCGGGGGGTGGCAATCTCGCTTGCAGGAGGAACATCATTCTGGCATGGCTCCAAAGGGCCCTTGAGAGAAAAGGAGGCCAAGGACAATTCCGATGATTTCGACTATCTAGTAAGTCCGACGTCAAAGGTACACATCCGCCGACATTGCTCGGCGTGTCGGATACTTACTAGAGGATAGAGGATAACCCCCCCCCTAACCCCCCCCCGCCCGACGTCTATTACGTAGGTTTTTGGGGGGGGGGGGGTCCCCCACGTACCGCGCGGCAATTTGATGACGTTCCACTAAACGTAGTCTTCGGGGAGCCGGTGTCGCAAAACAGGGGTCCCAGGCTCGATTCCCCCTGCCGGCTTTTTTGCTGGCTTGGGCTTCCTGCATCCTTTTGCCGAAAATCTGGAAAAACTCAATGTTTTTGGACGTCCTCTTTGCGAAAACGCTGGAAAAACCGTGTTTTTTTTGCGGGAAATACTGGGGAGCAAAGGGGAAGTGCAAGGATACATACATACATACATACATACATTACAGTACATTACATTACATTACATTACATGACATTACATGACATTACATACATACATACATTACATACATACATACATGCATACATGTATGTAAGCATGCATGCATGCATGCATGCATGCACACATACATACATACGTACATACATTACATGCACTACATTACATTACATTACATTTACATTACATTACATTACATTACATTACATTACATTACATTACATTACATTACATTACATTACATTACATACACTTACTTACTTACTTACTTACATACATTACATACATACATTACATACATACATACACACATACATACATACATTACATACATACATACACACATACATTACATACATACATACACACATGCATTACATACATGCATACATCACATACATACATACATACATACATTACATACATGCATACCTACATACATACATACATACATACATACATACATACATACATACATACATACATACATACATACATTACATACATACATACATACATACATACATACATACATACATACATACATACATACATACATACATACATACATACATACATACATACATTACATACATACATACATACATACATACATACATACATACATACATACATACATACATACATACATACATTACATACATACATACATACATACATACATACATACATTACATTACATTACATTACATTACATTGCATTACATTACATTACATTACATTACATTACATTACATTACATTACATTACATTACATTACATTACATTACATTACATTACATTACATACATTACATACATACATACATACATACATACATACATACATACATACATACATACATACATACATACATACATACATACATACATACATACATACATACATACATACATACATACATACATACATACATACATACATACATACATACATACATACATACATACATACATACATACATACATACATACATACATTACATACATACATACATACATACATATACATACATACATACATACATACATACATACATACATACATACATACATACATACATACATACATACATACATACATACATACATACATACATACATACATACATACATACATACATACATACATACATACATACATACATACATACATACATACATACATACATACATACATACATACATTACATACATACATACATACATACATACATACATACATACATACATACATACATACATACATACACATACATACATACATACATACACATACATACATACATACATACATACATACATACATTACATACATACGTACATACATACATACATACATACATACATACATACATACATACATACATACATACATACATACATACATACATACATACATACATACATACATACATACATACATTACATTACATACATACATTACATACATTACATTACATACATACATACATACATACATACATACATACATACATACATACATACATACATACATACATACATACATACATTACATACATATACATACATACATACATACATACATACATACATACATACATACATACATACATACATACATACATACATACATACATACATACATACATACATACATACATACATACATACATACATACATACATACATACATACATACATACATACATACATACATACATACATACATACATACATACATACATACATACATACATACATACATACATACATACATACATACATACATACATACATACATACATACATACATACATACATACATACATACATACATACATACATACATACATACATACATACATACATACATACATACATACATACATACATACATACATACATACATACATACATACATACATACATACATACATACATACATACATACATACATACATACATACATACATACATACATACATACATACATACATACATACATACATACATACATACATACATACATACATACATACATACATACATACATACATACATACATACATACATACATACATACATACATACATACATACATACATACATACATACATACATACATACATACATACATACATACATACATACATACATACATACATACATACATACATACATACATACATACATACATACATACATACATACATACATACATACATACATACATACATACATACATACATACATACATACATACATACATACATACATACATACATACATACATACATACATACATACATACATACATACATACATACATACATACATACATACATACATACATACATTACATTACATTACATTACATACATACATTACATACATTACATACATACATACATACATACATACATACATACATACATACATACATACATACATACATACATACATACATACATACATACATACATACATACATACATACATACATACATACATACATACATACATACATACATACATACATACATACATACATACATACATACATACATACATACATACATACATACATACATACATACATACATACATACATACATACATACATACATACATACATACATACATACATACATACATACATACATACATACATACATACATACATACATACATACATACATACATACATACATACATACATACATACATACATACATACATACATACATACATACATACATACATACATACATACATACATACATACATACATACATACATACATACATACATACATACATACATACATACATACATACATACATACATACATACATACATACATACATACATACATACATACATTACATTACATACATACATACATACATACATACATACATACATACATACATACATACATACATACATACATACATACATACATACATACATACATACATGTACATGCATGCATACATACGAGAGAGGGAGAGTGGGGAGAGAGAGGCTTGGGGGGATGGGGAGGATGGGAGCAGAGGGAGGGAGAGAGGACGACAGAACACACAAGGGAGACAAGGAAGAGAGGAAGAAGGAGAAAAGGGAGAGGACAATGTCGGCGGACTGAGCCGGAGGCTCTAAAGTTGATGGAGAAGTCATGACATTCATTCTTTGCACACAGCGTGTGCTGTTGTAGATGCACATTCGACAACCATTGACTCCATTGGCCAGGCAATCAAGCAACGCATGTTGATAGCAGGTTTAATCTTCCAGGTGCTTGGCAAAGGTACAGCAGGGTCCCACGCGAGAGAGGAAACTGCGACTTTGCAGCCACAGCCAAGATTTCGCCTTCCCACGGCCCTGGTTACTCTCTGGCCACAACACATTTGTACGTGCCAAGGCGAGGCGTGGATGCCAACTGATATTAGTTCCAGCCCCATGTGTCCGCAATTTTGCAAATGGTATCTGCTCTACTTGTAACGCCGGCCCCTAGTACCCATCACCTGGCAAGTTGAATTCCCCCGTGCCTTGTGCTGCAACCTCAAAGCCAAGGCTTCGGACAGGAGAGCACTCCAAACAGGCCAACCCTGTGGGTGGATCCGTCGCCGTATCCTTGTTAGGTTCATGCAAGGCCTATCTTTCCGTGGCTCAGCTGAATTTATTCACAAATGGAGCACAGAATGCAGTCCTGTGCTGTCATGCACAGGCAGTAGTGCTGCTCACAACAATTACAGCCTTGTTTTCTGTTAACGTCGAGACTTGCAAATGCAGCGTTTGACTTCTGCATGCATCAGCGGCATTAGCGATTGAGCTGCCACATGAAGATACACGCATTTGTCAGCACCCAAGACTGCGGCTTACGCTCCCCAACAAACCATAAGGGTCACAACATTATATGCCGAGATGCCTCCTGTGTTGAAGCGAGTGGTGGCCGCGGCGTGGCCCCTGCGCTTGCAGTGCTTGGCGCTGCCGCTGGTGCCGCTGCTGCTGGTGCTGGGGCTACTGCTCGTGCCTGTGCCTGCGATAGTGCTGGTGCTGGCAATGGTGCGGCTGTTGGCGCTGGTGCTGCTGCTGGTGCCGGTGTTGGCAATGGTGCTGGTGCTGCTGCTGGTCCCGATGTTGGCGATGGTGCTGGCGATGGTGCTGCCGCTGGCGCTGGTGCCGCCGCTGGCGCTGGTGTCGCCGCTGGCGATGGTGCTGCCGCTGGCGCTGGCGCTGGTGCTGCCGCTGCCGCTGGTGCCGCCGCTGGTGTTGGCGATAGTGCTGCCACTGGCGCTGCCGCTGGCGCTGCCGCTGGTGCCGGTGCTGGCGATGCCGCCGCTTGCGCTGGTTCTAGCACAGGCGATAGCTTTGGCCTGGGCAAAAAAAATATTGGGACAAGGCTCGCTGTGCGTGCACGACTGCGGAATGAAACTGGTCAGAAAGGACATTCAGTGTCAATGCTCAGGCAAACAGCAAGGTAAACCGTGTTTGAGTGAGGTATAGATCGTCTCATCGGGCTCAAGCTGCACAGTATGACACCATTTAAGGTCGAATCAATTCCAATCATTATTGAAAAATCTGATTGACATCACGCATACCATCTCGCTTGACTCATGACCGCGGTTTAGGCAGCATTTTGACTCGCGGAGTGCCCATCAAGAGCAATCCTTCTGAGTAAACCTATTCCGCTCACCGGGAAAGCGTCAAACAAGCGCGCATGATTGCACCCTGTCCCACTTCATCTGCTAGGCCCAACGCACACACACACACACCCACCCACGCACCCACGCACGCACGCACGCACGCACTCACTCACACACACACACACACCCACGCACCCACCCACGCACGCACGCACGCACGCACACACGCACGCACGCACGCGCGCACGCACCCACACACACACACACACACACACATTCGCGCGCGCGCGCCCACGCACACACGCAGACACGCAGACACGCCAGGCACACACGCATAACGCACGCACACGCACCCACGCACACACGCAGACACGCACACCTGCCTGCGAACCTGCGTGCCTGCGTGCTCTGCGTGCCTGCCTGCGTGCGTTCCTGCTGCTCGGAATTCCACTACGCCAAAAGACAATTCGCCCACCCTGGCTAAAGTCCTGTTGCTTAGCGCACTAAACCCACCACTTTCAGCCTTCCATGTCTTCCAAGCGGCCGTGCAAATTTCGGAGTTGGCTTGGTTGCCTTGACCTGCGCGTGGCAGACTCCAGCTGTCCAACATGCCCAGCTATCAGCTGAAGACTAGTGCGCGATCCCAAGAGGGCCTCTTGATATCTTTGTGAAGTGTCAGTCAGATTTTCCGACAGGATTTGAACCCACAAAATGAGCATCATCTAGCCAATCCTCCAGAGCAATGTCTTCCCGCCGGGTTGCTTAAATGTCCCTTGAAGTGAGTGGGCGCAAGCCTTTGAAGATGCTGGAGTGAGTGTTCGGGGGGAATTGCTTATCTTAGTTTGTGAATGAGATACTCTCCGAACCTTCCCAACATTAGATACATGAACGAGAGCAGACCCTCCACACCCTTCAACAATTCCAGCTGGGCCGCTGTCGGCTTCTCGGGCGATTCCACCGCTGCCTGAGCGGTTCTGTGCGAGTCGCTGGATGCCCAAGCCCGTAGGGGGACTGGCGGCTGAGTTTCTGGATCACACGGGACTCCGTTCAATTGGCCATGCGACCACCGGCAACTATTTCCGGGGTTAGAACTGCTTGCCCGCTAAGAGGGAAGCTAAGAAGAGCTTTGAATGGAAAAAGCGTCCAAGTAGAGCGCTCTTCGGCTTCTGGATTTGGAAGTAAATTGCGAAGTCCCAAAACGCCTTCGAGCCATAGGCCACTCTCCCGGCCGCTCAAATCTGGCGAGGTGCGAAAGGCTTGTAGGTCACCGGCTCAGGGATGAAGAACTCGTTTGTCTCAGGGTTTGGCAAAGCCCACAGGGCCAATGCATTCCAACGCATTCCAAAGGATGGAGGGTGGACGGGTCTGCGAATAGAAGTGCTCCATCCCGCATGCCCCTCCGACTTTGCAGGGCGGCCAAAAGCTTTAAGAATCAGAAGCAAAGTTCTCAGCGTGTTGATTTTACTGTTGGGGGCGAAGCCAACCCCCCAAAACATTGCTCAACTTGGTCTGACTAGATTGATGGCTCCACCCTGTCAACAAACCAATATGTGCACGATACTAAGTTAATGCTCACGGCTTGCAACCAAGTCTGGCTAATTCAGCTGCTCTGTGGTAAAGTGCGACTTTTGGCAAGGATTGATACATCCAACCATGCCACTCAAGCACCTCCACGTTTGACAAAGCTTCTCTCCCAAGAACCACATAAGATCTCATCGTGATGGATGATAATTGGGCCATGGTTCGAATAACCCTGTCTTCGCTTGTCACCCTTGACCAAATTGTGTTGAAGTTGGGGGCGCCAAAAAACTGGCGTTGTTCCTTTTTGTTTCTCAGGGTTCCCTCAAAGACACAATCAAATGGTCGTGTATTTGAGAGGCCAAACCCGAGGCGCCTTCGTCCTTCGCTCCTAACGGAAAGGTGTCGGAGCATGGCCAGGCTGATGAGGGTGCATCTTGTCTTTTAGGACAGCCGTTTTAATTGTTCAGGGGTAGGGAAACACAAGGAAACCCGTCCATTTCAAGGGCTGCCTAGCTTAAGACAAACCCATATGTCATGCTCCGTGTTCTGAAATCCAAAGATTGACCCATGACCCATGCGCCGTTTGAGTTGATTGAAGTTGGACGATTGGGGGTGCTTGTTGCAAGGGAGTCATGTACTGCGGTCTACAAGTGTCTCAAGACCTTAGGGACGTACGGGCGCTTCAAAATAGCTGTTTCATGACAGCTCCCCTTTTGACACTGTCACAAAATGTGACCCCCCAAATCACTGTTGGCAAGCCGTTGTGCCTTACACTCATGTCCCATAGGCAGGATTGGCCCTACATTCAAAGGGCCAAGCGCCATCTCGCATGACTCCAGCTCCAGGCACAAAGCTTTGGCCCACACCTGTAAATGATGTGGCTTGACAAACTAAACTTCTTTAATCGTACAAATACAAGTCATTTCAACCATTCCTTGTCAAATATGAGACAGCTGGGGTGGTCCCCAATTGGATGATTCGCATGCCCCTGCCAAAACTATAGAACAGGTTAAACAACCGGGAAGGGTCACAATTGAACCCTGTACTCAGCGCGCTTTTTCCTTGAGCCACGTGCAGTCGTAATGATGAGACTGCACAAGTGAGACATGCATGCATTGGGGTTTACATGGTTGATAAATACATCACGTTGCAAACTACACCCCCCGTGCCCGAATGTGAAACAGGAGGACAAATGAAAGGGATGAGACAACCAAAGAAACCCGATAGGCATGATGTCATTTTGCAGCACACAAGCACTTGGATTTGAGCGATCGGTAGCTAAGGTCTTCCGCCTCCACTGACCGTCGCTCTCGCGAGGCGTGCTCATGCACTGTACATTGATCCTCGGCCAACATGATTGAGAAGTATAATGGAAATTGAATTTGAAATGTAAGTGGATGTCAGCCGAAGATAGAAAATATTGTCGAAGAGATCGCTCATTCATCGCCAATCCCAATTGCGGGAGCTCTTCCACGGGCGCTGATCATCAGACCACCACGAGTCCCAGGACTGGCCCCAACTTCCCCAGTACGACTGGCTCCATTGACGATCCTGCCATTGGCCGCCGCTCTCCCGGAGCTGCGGAATGGGCTTGCGCGCCACACCGACAACTGCAGGGAGCGGGGTGGCCCGCCCAGGGATCTCGATGTTGGGGATCTCCTCTTCGACGAAGCAGAGCAACTCCACCAATACCATTTCGGGGTCTCCCACAGACGAGAAATCCGGTCCAGCCCATCACGCTGTAGCGGTTGCTCTTGTCAAGGCTTCCGTAAAGTGCAGCAAATTGTTCTGGTTCCAGAAACCTGCCGCCATGCACAACGTAGACGTCCTTCGGGTCGACCTCCTGCACATCCTCCGTAGGCGGCACCAGCGTTAGCCGTGCGTGATATTTCGGCACAGCCACGCTTCCTTGGATCATCTCCTTGGTTCTCACGAAATTCGGAATGATGCATCGTGCCACTTTCTCGATGAACTCGAGGGCGGACGGCGTCAGGTCTCCCCGCGCGGCAGTGTAGGCGTAAAAGGGGTCATTGATCAGCCTCTCGTAGAGCGTGGTGTACTCCTTGTTGCGAAGAACTGCTTTCTTGGCAATGTCCTTCATGATGCCGAGGCCCCCTCTTGCGCTTCGATCCCCCCGCGCATCCTTTCGCTGCGTCAAGATCTGAGTCTCAACCTGGTCCATGGACAACGGCACGCCCAATGAGTTGGCCATCTCCTGCAACCGGACGACCCTGGCTATCTTCTTGATGTCGGGCATCCGTTCCATCAACTGGCTGCACTGGAAACAGTTGATGGTGCCAACCGGGATGAGAATTTTGCAGCGATTGCACTCGACATCAGGGATGTGCATCACTTCGGCGAACCGCCAGTTTGTCGACTTCTTCCTGTTGGGGTCGAGTTCCTGCCACAAACCGCTCCGGCCTCGGGTTTCCCCGGGCTGCTGCGTCACAGCACGGGCCCAATTTCTGTAGAGGCCGTAGCGAGCAGTCTCGAACTCAAGCATGACTTGCTCGTCCTTCGGAAGATTTTCGTCGACGACATCCTTGACTTTCGTGATATTGCCGATGCGATGGGGCCGAGTCAAGTCACGGCACGCCGTTGGAGCCCATTGCTTGTAGTAGGCCTTGCATTCCTTCTCGAGGTTGGCCATGAAGGACTCCAGCACCGGGGTACCGACGACGCCTTTCTGGGTCTCTTCTCGGTACTTCTTGATGCTTTCCTGGTAGTTCCGCCTGACGCTGACGTACATCCGGTTGGACCAGATGAACTTGGCACATTCAGCGTCGTAGGCGTAGATGAGGACCTTGTTCGTGATCCAATCCTCCGTCACCAGGGCTTCCCCGTCTCCGGGTGCGTACAGCCGACACCCCAATTGGATCAACATCTCCACGTCGACGGCGATGTTGATGGGTCGGTCAGCACGCGCACCCCCCGCCTTCCGGCCATGCCTGTCCCAAGGAGGCACCACCGTTAGGTAGGCGTGACCACGCGAGGTTTGCCGGTCCCCCATGCCGCCCGGGAAGATGCCCATGTAGATGATGTCAAAGAAGTTCTGCATGTTGCACGTGTGGTAGGCGATCTTGGGCAGCGCCTTTCGGCGTGCGTCCGAGAAATCTTTGCAGAAGCCCGGTCGCACACCCTTCTTTGCGTGCTCGATGGAGTAGTTGACATCCATTGCAATGGGATCTCCAGGAATATTGTCAAAGCCACTGGCCTCAGTCACCCAATCGTTGTGGCCGGTGAACGCGCGAATGCGTAGGGGCATGAAACTGAGCCCGTTCCATTGCTGCCCGGCCGGCGCGTGCTCGATGTAGACCTCGAACCGATTCGATGTGGACGTGGCCTGAAGAAGAGTGTATTGGGAGCAGTTCCAGTCATATCGGCGCTGGATCCATTTGGCAACGGCTGCATAGTCGAAGGAGTTGTCCTTGAGATTGATCTCAGGGATGGATCGCGTCGCGTGTTCATGGGCATGTCCGCGAACCAAATACGACACCTTCTTGCTCAAGAACGTCCTTCTGCCATAGTTCTGGATCTGGGGAATCTTGATTCCTGAGCACTTGATCCACTCCCTCTTGGGTTCAGCAGCCTGGCCACGGGTCTCCCCGGGCTTTGAAGCAGCTTTGGGAACTGCCTTCGCCTTGGGGATGTTCTCCGGGCCACGGGTCTCTCCTGGCTGAGTCTTGCTAGTCCCAGCCACGGGCGCCTGACCGCTGGATGAGGCAGCAGGCATTGGCATTGCCTTTGATTTCACCTTTGGTGTCGCAGCACTGAGAGCTGCAGTCATTTTGTTATGACTTTTCCGTTTGGAAGTGAGGAACAGCTTGATTTGGCCGTCCTCGCCAACATCGTTCGGATCCACTGCGGCAACCTCAACGGCCTGGCCTTTCGGCCGGCTGACCTTAGGCTGAGAGCCAGGGGGCAGGTCGAAGCTGATCAAGTCCTCCTCATCGGAAGAAGAAGACCAATCAATCACATCGTTGAGGCCGCTGACGGTCGCCGCGTGGATGTCGGGCTGCATCATCTGCAAAATCTTTGCTTCCTCCTTGACGGTGTCGAGGGGGTAGAGGGGGTTAGCCTCCTTCTCGGTCTCCAGGAAAATCTCGCGCTTCGGCTCTTGCGCAGCGATTTCATTGATCGCCTCCAGCTCCCTCTCGCGGACCTCGTTGTCGAAAGGGTCCTCTGGGTTCTTTGCAATTGCCGGACCGCCAGTTTCCTGGGGTGTAGCGCCAACGATGGGAATAGATGTGTCGATGTTCATGTATTCCCTTTCGAGGAGGTACCAATTCATAGCCCCTTCAAAGCGGTTGATTTGGCCGATGCAGTACCCGAGCTTCGCAGCGGCCACGTAGAAGTTGATGTAATGTTTTCTGTTGCGCTCGGTGTCATCGGTGTGGATACGGTCTGCCCGGGACGTGTTGGATATGAGTGTCTGGGGGTCGAGGACGGTGATTCCCGCTGAACCGTGCAACAAACGTGCATGACCGTCCATTTGAGTCTTGTAAGATTCGCTCAATCCGTACGTCTCAAAGTCCCGGGGTACGATGAGCACGACCTGAATCACGTCTTCTCGAAAAGCAATATGTCGCAGCCGGTCACGGACAGTCATCACCGCGCGGGCGTTCCTTTCGATGATGTCCATCGCAGCCTTGCGCTTTGCCTCGGAGTCAGTGGCCCAGCCCGCTAGGGCGGCGGGGTTCTCAATGTACCCGTTTCGCCCAATGACATCATTTCCAGACCAGGAGATAACGATGACGTACGGCCGGGGCTCAGGCCTTTCGGCGAGCTTTAGCATTGCCCGCTCAGCGGCATCAAGAGATTCCGCCAGTCCTTTGCCCCATGTCATTTCGGACCAGACCTCGTGCTTGTGCCCAAACAGCGTCCGCTTGTTCTCCTTGATGATGGTGCCAACATCTGTCTTTGCTCCATCTTTGACCAATGCATTGAAGGAGTCGCCGAAAAACAGATAGTTGACCGCGGGTTTCCCCGGGCAGAAGAGGATATCGAAAGCCTCAGCCGGAGCCTCTTTGAGAACACCCGCAGCACCTGTCAACGATGACATAGCATTCTTGGCGAGAGCCAGCGCATCGGTGCGTTCACTCATCTTGGCAAGGTCGACACCGGAGTTCACGTCCTTGACGATGAATGATTGAGTTGCCGCATCACGGAACATGTCTGACCAAGCCTCTCGGTTGGCAACGCGCAGCTCGTCGGGGATGACCTCGGCCTTCACCTTCCCGTCGTGCAGGATGTAGTCCGAGCCGTAGTCAACCCGAGCGAGCGGCACATCTTTGTAATTCCTCGCATCGAACGCCGAGCGCACCGTCTTCAGGGCCTTCTCCACAGGCAGTGCTTCAGCCATGGTCGCAACGAGAATCCGTGTTTGGA